CCATGTTAAATCCCATAGGGTGGGGGAGGGGGGTGAGGGGGGGGCCGAACGATCCTATAAACCACATTATTCATATCAGAATAGTGGTTAAAAATTTTTATATAAATATGAAATCACAATATTATTAATGATTGGGAAGAGTTGTGATACAATACAAGAATAATATTATACCAGTAAATATAATTATATATTTATTATCCTTATAATTTTTTATAACTTGTGGAATCAATTGTTCGATTCACATATCATATGACATATTTGAACATAAAATATGCCCTCAAATAGAGGACATCTTTTATAAAAAGAGTTTCAATAAAAGTGGTCACTACTCGCGTACCCGAAGTCCTTCGACTAAATGGGCATTACTTACGATACCCTCTAATCAGGTGTATTCATATCCATTTAAAAGGTGATTACACCAGCGTAGCCAACCTGTCTATTAGCCAATAGCCCAGCCTTTGCCCAAATATGCGCTTTAAAGCCAGTTATTAATACAAAAACAATCAATTTAATCAATAAATTGTATTTTAGTAAATTCCAGATTATATTTTCGATTTGTTAGTAATAAATATATGTAATATTACTACTCAACGATTATGTACTAAATATAGAATAATTGTGTACAATATATTATGGATACACTTATATAATAATGAAAAGCTTATTAGCTGAAATCAGTTGAGTAAATATAAATGAAAATAAAAATACAGTATATATAGAGTTAGCATTTGTTTTGTTAGATTTTTATTGCTTATAATGACGTTTATTGTTGAAATTATTGAACGAATATAACGTGAAAATGGTTTTTCTCACGACAACCTCTCATTTAGTGGACTCTAATTCACAATTAAACACAAATTATAGTACAAAATGAAAGCAATAAAATTGATTGAAAAGTAAAGTTTCAATTGTTTTTTATGTCTAGCATTCAGCACATGAAACAACACTACAAACTGTACTATTCAAACAAATACGTCAATATTAGGTCAACAGTTTACCATGGTAACAACCATCACTTTATCACTTCCATCACTTCCAGACCAACTGCTATACACCACTTCATAGCAAATACTAATACTGTATATAGTAAACTTACATATACACTATATTCAAATATATCCTATTTTTAATCTCAGATTTCAACACATATAACATATAGAGTGATGTTTTGTATAGAGAGAAAAGAATCAAAAAATATATGAAAGTAATACTGTATTACTAATACATTTTACAAATTCTGAGCAAACTCTCAAATTGGCTTTTCTTACTGATCAAAATATTTGAAATACTACTGAATTACTGATTTGACAAATTTATCACAATTTATTATACAGATATTAAGTTATATTGTAAATTATTAATTTAATAAAGTTGTCATATAATAAATACAATAAAATACATTAACATTTACTTTTTTAAATATTTAATTTATTAATGTAAATTCATAAAATTACAATAATTCATTATTTACTCATGATATTATAAATTTTGTGTTAATAAATATTAATTGATTAAAATTACTAAAAATTCTAATAACTAATAAATTCTGTTTTCTATTGTATAACTAATTTTAAATGGTATGTATCACTAATAATTCTATTAATATAATAATTAATCTTTTTAAACGAACAATTGATTTGATCAACATTTGTATTATAAATAGAAAATAAAATTATATTTCGTTTTTAATAAATTTGAAATATAAACAAATGAAAAAATAATAACATTTTAATTTTCATACATTATGAATGCAGATTAACGGTCACATTATTTATATCACATATTAAGATAGGACCACATTTGTGATATAAAAGCATGTGATTTTCTCTTTAGTTGAAGTAAACACTACATAATTACAACAATTGGTCACAAATGTGGTCCTATTTTAATATGTGATATAAATAATGTGATCTAAAGTTAATCCTTATGTTTTGCATTCAAATATTGTTTGCATTACCCAATTTATTACGTGTTTTAATCATAATAAATATATTCTACATTTACTCAAAAAATACAAGGTGATGTATCAAAGCTGATGCACTTAATAAATTTGTTTGGTCAGTCGTCCTTTTTTAAACAGATTTTTAGTTTATTTTTGGATACCCTTTATGTTTAAATGTCTCAATTATGTCAACTTCTACACTACTGTATACTTTCAACTATTCTATCATATCAACAAATATTGTTCGAAAATTAATCTATATTGTCAACCAAATGCCCTGAAACCGTTTTGTTAATGATATAGGAGTTTGACTGTATTAGTAAATCGCCCTGGTCATAACAAAAGTTCATTAATTCTCAGAACAGTTATAGAAGACTAATATACATAACACTTTTAAAGTATTGATTTATTTGCCATCATATCATTGGGAATATAGAAATTACTAATATAATAACAAATTTAATATTAAAATATCATAACTATTAGGTAATATTGGGTAATATTAGGTAATATTGGGTATTTGAAAGCATTGTATGACAGCATTTGATAGCATAGTTATAATTGACGTCATATTTTTCATGTGTCTCTTTTGGACAGGTATTAGTGGTGGTGATAGAGGATTGACAGATGCCATACACTCACTCTCTCTTGTGTTTGGATGTGGTTTATAAGTGTGAGCACAAGTAGTCGTGCCATCAGATTGCAAACCTAACATCACATCTCATATGATAGCCCTTCGCATCAATTGATTCACAAGTGATGACAACACACGAGTCGATATTGCAGACACTCGTGTCAACACATTGTCTGTATTAGTGGTTTAGTGGTGAAGAGAACACAACCCAACACCTGATACCACCTGTAAGTGGTCTGTAAGACAACCATTTATTATGAAACGTAAGTCAATCTCATATTAGTAGCGATCAATTATATGTATGCTTATAAGTCAATTTGTGTTTATACTGTATAACACATAATGTATACAGAATTCATTGTATGTCAACATATAATGTATATTTTGGGTAACAATCAGATGGCAGTAAACGCTTGCAAATAGAGTATGTATTTATGGAATTTAAGTCAAACTAGAATTTCGGGTTTGGGTTAAAATTCATTTGACAGTTGGTTAGTTAATCCAAGTCTTAAAGTTTATAAGTTATACTAAAATAAATATATTATTAAATACACCGTAAAGTAAATACCGTACAAACTGATTTATGAAATTTGTTTAAACTTTGTTTTAGTAAAATATATCAAAATATAATTTAAGAATAGACAAAATATTAGTGAATAAAATGACTGCTTATGTCGGGTTTGAGTTTGAGTTTATACAATCACTTATTCGGTCGGATCTAAGGGTATGAAAAGAATTAAGGAGTCAATTATTTCTAGATTCTCTCTCTCTCTCTCTCTCTCTCTCCCCTTTCTCCCTCCCCTCGACGTCTCTGTAAACTGAAGGAATGGCTTAGAGTTGTTGATAATTAGGTAGTGCTTGTGTAGAAGTTGACATAATTGAGACATTTAAACATAAAGGGTATCCAAAAATAAACTAAAAATCTGTTTAAAAAATCTCTCTCTCTCTCTCTCTCTCTCTCTCTCTCTCTCCACTATCTCTTATTCTGGCGATATTGAGTACTTGTGATACGATATGTAATACATTGAGTATTAGACGAAAAAGCATATAACTGTAGTCATGTAGTCATACTGTGCTGTATTTATACCATATTATGGTTTAGATGAACAAAATCGTAGTTATATTAAAGTATACTTTTATAACATAATAAACTGGAAACGTTCCAAATGTTGCAAAATGTGTATCAAGAGGTTTTGGTTTGTGAATCAAATAATAGTCATTGTAATAGTTTTGCTAACTTTTTATTTAAATGTTAATAATATAAGTGGATTACAACTCAACAAGACTTTAAATTCGTCAACATTTTATTCTTCACAATTCACATACAGAACTGTTGTAAATAATGTATGTAAAAAGTCATCATATCTAACATAACAACATATGATAATAACATTAACATGTTATATAATATTATTTGATAATTCACTACCTCCTCAGTCCATTTGAACGCTATTACAATTAATATTATTTTATGAATTCAATTTTTTATATGGGAGTCAAAGTTTATAACAATTTAGATTTCTCTTTCAAAAATATAAACAATTTTAATAATCATTTCAGTTGATATAAATTTTATATTATAAAACATGTACTTTTGAATTATAAAATTCTCTATAGAATAAAGTAACTGCTCGTATTTTATACACAGAATCTTTAAAAAACCACTATTAACATCAGATGATCCTGGGTAATAGTCAGCAAAAGTGATAAAGATTATGTGCCATTATATGACTTATCTCACCCGTCATATTAAGTCGAGAGAGAGAGAGAGAGAGAGAGGTCTCCAGAGAGCGGATGCAATTGTAGAGAGAGAGAGAGAGAGAGAGAGAGAGAGAGAGAGAAGAGTATTGTTATAAAGTGTGATATCCATTTGTGAGCAAATATATAATAAGATTGATTGCAATTTTCGTACTCTTAGGCGAAGAGTGCAGACGAAATGGCTATTTATTTGGCAACTGATTTGTTTTAATAATCACATGATCTTTGGGAGCAAATATTGCATTCGTTTATACATTTTATTTGTACGAAATGTTAGGGTATCTGAAGAAAGTGGCAAAACTGGAATCTTGCAAAGGAGGCGATACTTCAATTCATCCGCACCATTCAAATACATCACTTCCCATAGAAGAATACACACAAACAATTACAACCACAACCACTGCCACTACACCCACCACTACCTGTCCAACAATTGCATCCGCTCTCTGGAGACCTCTGTGGCCGCCAGGTTTATAATCATTACCATATAATACCACATTAATTGTGCATTCATATACAGTCTTATTTAACCCAAAGTACTGTCGGTAGACTTGCCAACTCCGGGTTGGAATTTCCTTGAAAAATCTAAAATTTTAAGAAATTTCCTTGACCACCATTATTATTATATATTTGAATACAGTACAAATATTTTGTAAAACTGTTTGACATTGTATAAGTGTGCCGTATTTCATTTTGTTATATATCTTGTCACATACTTTAAATCGTTCTTATATTATTAACCATTTAACTGCATTAGATTATAATAATGTATTTTATAACTAGGAACATATTAGGCAAGTAAAATATAGAATTTATTAGTCAAGGAATTTATTATTTTGGTTAAATTTTATATAAAGTTGTAGTAGTTTATAATAATTAAATTCTTTGATTTTTCTATGTCAAGGAATCACTTTCGCCTTCCACCTTGACCAAACACGTCTTTTCTTGCCAATCAATTAATTTCTTGACCAGTTGGCAAGCCTAACTGTCGGTATATTTGAATTTACAGCTGAGCTGAGATGATTATATCTAATAGCTGACTTCACCATGTTAAAGTCAAATAGATTTCTGTTTTTTAATGTACAGTATATAAATATGACACTTTTCTGTACTCTACAAAATTCATTAATTCCTGTATAATACTGGTCATTCTTATATCTGGCAACCCTAGTGGGGAAGTCAGTTTTTAGATATAACCATCGGGTGAACTGTAAATCCAAATATATTTTGGGTTCTTTCGGTTGAGTTAAGCTGTATTTCATATACAGTATATGAATTAATAAATACCAATATGAATGTTTCCAATCAAGGTTGGCACCCCCGGGGCTCCACAAAGACTTACCGCTCAAACATTAATCTCCCGGTAATCAAAATGTCCGGAACCGGTGGTGAAGCCGAACAAAACGATTCGTCAACTGTTGAGTACTTTGTAAACGAAGAGTTGGAACAAATGGAGGTTTGTTTGTAAATGACATGTTATTCATATGAATTGCTGATTGAGTGTCACAATGTGTGTCACAATGTGTGTCACAATGTGTGGATGTGTTGATGTATTGGTAGGACTGGTTGGACGAACACCCGGTCTTTGTTGAGGACTACTTTGTGAGGAAGGCTTCGCGTTCTCTAATCGATAATTGGCTTTTAGCACATTCAGCGCCCGTCAGCGCCGGTCAGTCCATATTTATTATAGAAATCATATAATATTATATGTAAACAATTTATTATTCAAAATAATGGTTTTTGAATGTGAGTCACATTTTCCCATTATTCCCAATAAGTTATAATCAGAAAATCTGAAACACATATTAATGTTATGGTACAACGTATGGCTACACTTTAAAGTTTAAAATTATTTTTTAGCTAATTTGATTTCAAAGTGCAATTTAGAATCTACGCAATGGGTCGGTCAGTTAATTTTGTCTATGGCCATTTCGTTATAACCTTTAAGCTATAATAATTAATTAGATTCTTTAGATTCTGTACAAAGCATCGAACAAAGAAAACTTAAATCATTGTCATTTGTGATTTCGGGATAAAACTACTGATGAAGTGGTCAATTGGTTCACAAAATATACATTTGAGGAAAATTACGGGCTAATGGCCAGAAACGGGACAGTTATGGCTAATTTTGTTATCATTTCTATACTGTGTATATCATTGAAAAATGAAGTTTCTTACAGTGCATAATTACTAAAATCTTATGCTATACATTGTATAGCAATGTTCACAAAATTGGCCATATTTTGTCATATCATATAGTTTTTATCCCGAAATCACGTGACAATGAATTTTCTCGTAAGAGTTTTAAATTTGAACATTTTCCCATACGGTATGGCCAAACCTCATCCTTAGATTTTGGTCACGTGGTATACTTAATACCGAGACCACAGCAAATCACTGCTACAGCTTAAACTATAAGAGTGGCAGAGATGGTCCCAATGGTCCTAATGGTTCTAATGCACAATTTGTGAAAAGTAAACAAATGTTTACTATAAAAAGAATCAGTTAATACAACCATTTGTTTGGTATTTATAGCTCGAGAAAAATTAGCCGATACCGATGCTAATCCTATGAGCTAATGTTATGTCTATGGCAATGTTAAGTTTATGAAAATACTAATCAATGGTTTAATGTTAAACCCGCACAGTAATGCAAAGTTTATGAGTGATGCTAGTTTATCAATTATTCAATGTTTTACTAATTAAATTATTAAAATAATGTCATAAAACTTCAATTCTTTGACAAATTATGCCCGAAATGATTGCATTTCTTTCCATAAATTCAAAACTACTGACGGTTTTAGTGATTCTTTTTAACCACAATTCTGATACAATGCTGGATTAATAATGTTTTTTATAGGATGGTTTATAGGACTAATGCTAATCCTATAGATAATGTTAACTCTATTGGACTCATAATTAATTTATGGACAATGCTAATCTATTCTTTAAGCAATAATCAAATTGTGGTTAACGTATAACATTGCTGTGTGTGAGTTATTTTTATATAAAACATTGGTCTCCCCTTGATCAATTTTGAATTGGGACAATTTTTAATTATAGTTTAAGCTGTAACAGTGGTTGGCAACGGTCCTGATATTAAGTATACCACTTAAATCTAAAGATGATATATGGGAAAGATTTCTCTGATAGATGCTTTTTACAGAATCTAATTAACTATTATAGCCTAAAAATTATAACAAAATCGCCGTGGACACAATTGAATGACCAAGTTATTATGTGGATAGTCATACAGTAGTTCTTTGAACAATGTTAATTTTAACATCTTATTTATATAATTTACCTTTGTGTAATATGATTTCATTGAGGATGGTCTTTGTAAAGATCGAATAAAAAAAATTAAAACGTTAACCGAGGTCATAATCACCTGGATTGCCCTAGAGTCATCGTAGCGCACGAGCTTGTTGGGAGTTGCATAAATCTATAAATAAGCTCTTCCAATTGAAGTGTTAATTATACCTTGCTTATCAATAATATTATAATAATTAATATAATAATAAAAATTATACCTTGCTATAATCACATAATTTAATTGTGATTCTTTCTGTTTAATAGCAAACCAAAATATCATGTAAATGTAGATACAGTACAGATACAGTATGTATGCCCGAAATCGTAGACTTATTTTAATTAATTTTAAACCCAAATGTCTTCAAATCAGTATTTGACTGTATTTTTGTAAAGTGAAAAAATGAATTTTGGATCATAACATGTGGTAAAGTAATGAGTGATAATTAGTGAAAATATTGCAATAGTTGTTACAATTGTTACAATTTGCTCATTATTTGTATTATAGTGGCGACAATACATTCGCAAATTGTCGGCGCGTCCGGCAATACCTCATTTGCTCCGAGTGTTGACAACTCGGGCGCCACGACTCCCGTCAGGAAGATATCGGCGCATGAATTCGAGAGAAGCGGTTGTTTTCTGCGACCAATGGTCTCAACCACTATTGACGGAACGCCTACTTTCTTACCCATTCCCGGCTCTGATAAGGGCTCTAATGATAATCTTAATAAAGGACTTCCTGTAAAGACTAGACAAGAATTGGAATCATTAAATGAAAGGCAATTAATATTTGAATTGGTAAAAGACATTTGCAATGATCTCGACGTCAAATCACTTTGTCATAAGATCCTCAAAAATGTCTCTATCATTACCAATGCTGATCGCTGTTCACTCTTCCTGGCAAGTATCACCTTCTCTCTCTCTCTCTCTCTCTCTCTCTCTCTCTCTCTCTCTCTCTCTCTCTCNGTTGTTGATAATTAGGTAGTGCTTGTGTAATGTTGTACTTGTGCTCTCTCTCTCTCTCTCTCTTGTTATTTACAATTTGTAATATAATTTCAGGTAAAAGGAGAAAGGGATGATCCAAATCGGTTCGTATATATTCCGTATATTTTAAGTTGTTATTCACATATTGAAAGACATTGTTTAACCGCTAAATGATATGCAAAACTTGCCGCAAAAAGCTGTTTAAAAACGTCTAAACATTTCAAATTTTTAATTCAAATATTTTTTAATATTTGAGTTCAAAATTTGTTAAATTAATTTGTAAAGCTTTATCGATGTGCTAAAATTATTGCACTTTCAATAATGTTCAAATCTACCATGGTATAATTGCAGTAAGTTTTGAGTAATTCAAAATAAATCAATCTCAATTATAACTAAAAATGCACCAACTAATTCTTCGATATAAAATTTCATGTATATTATAAGATAATTAATCGAAATAAATGTTTAGGTGTCTTATTAGCCAATTATTTGACGTCTCGTGTCAGTCGACTATTGAACAAATGGAGAAAAAGGAAGAAATCACAATACCCTGGGGTAAAGGCATAGTCGGATATGTGGCACAAAGTGGCGAATCTGTAAATATTCCTGACTGTTATCAGGTTTGTGAGCAACTCATGTATAATTAATGCTATTTTAATTGGTAAATGTTATTTTAATTGTGTACAGGGCTGTCCAAGGCTCCAATGTCAGAGTGTTCACATATAGTGTATATAACCGTAAAATTCAAGTTCAAATATGATTCATTCTAGTTTGTAGTGGAAATATAAGTTTTAATTACTAAATTTTAGGAATCGGAGTAATAATATGTAGGTAGTATATTTCTTGATTTAGAAAAATCATGTTTGAACTTGATGTGGCATAGTATCACTTGTAAAATAATGTAATTTTTACGGTTGTATACACTATATGTGAACACTCTGAAATTGGAACCTGGGACAGCCCTGATTGTGTAGTTAATAATTCCTCGTTTACAAAATATCATATAAATGTATAAAATATATTTATAAAGTAAACACACTTATGTATAGATAAAATATAAACAAATAATATTCTACATAAATCCTAAGGCTAACAGAAAGTTGTAACAAATTTGCAAAAAATACATATTAAAGTATAATGACAGATTTATCATAAAGTTTTTTAGCGTTAAAGTGTTGCTTTTATTGCTACTGCGTTATACTGCAATATAAAGGGTGTGTGGGATATACCGTATGTCCGTATTCTATGGCTTTTATATAATAGCCATTTTACTCATAATAAGGAATATTTTTCTTTTCCATGTAAAATGGAAACTTAAGAGGAATAATTGAAGATTGATTTGCCATACTAAATATTTTAATCAATCATCGTTTAGAATTCCATGAACAATTTTATATAAAAATTTTACATTTCAATTATAGTCAGACTGTCAAGACCTAGTTTATTTATTGAAATTGTTGTGTCAAATGGGTGGTGCTTATTTGATAGGTTGATCATGATAAGTTATTCGGTATAATATTTAAATTTGTCCATCTGTACTTTGCACAATTATTTTATTTTAAAATTCATCATTTATGTATTAAAATAGTTCATAAATGGCAACCATCAAACTTATTCTGTTAATTTTAAAAAAAACATTTGTTATAAATTCATAGTATTTATAATTATAAAAATTATGTATTACTGTAATTATATATTACTTCTAGAAAGTAAACTAAATTTTCTTCCGTTATTTTGCAAAAAAGTGCTATCAG